TGTCAGTCTTTTAAGTTATATAATTCCTCCTCCCCCCTCATCTCCTTATATGTAAACTTTTTCTCCTCCCTGGGCCCAGCCAATCACCCCCCACTCCTCCCAGGTTTCCAGAGTCTTCTTCTCTCTGGGGGTTGTGGTTGGCTGTGGTCCCGGGGCCCCTCCCTTACTTTATGCTTATTGGTTCTCATCTGTTGTTTGTCATGTTTAGTTCACTCCCTTCCCTTCCCTGATTGGTCCTCTGTAAACCCTTCCCCTTGAATCCTTCCCCCATTATAAGCCTGATTCACCCTCCCCTCTTGGTCACTCCCTGGTTGGTTTCCTTGGGCAATAAACCTGACTTCACCCCCAGTGAGTGTCCTGCTCCTTACTCGTCCTACCTGCAGCGAGATCCTGTCCGCAGCCAGCACAGCCTGAGGCCTTACGACGCCGAGGGGTGCTGGCAGGGAATGCAGCTGGGTGACGGCCTTTACCTCAGCTAGCCGGACACTGACCTTTTGGGCCACATACACCTCACCACAGCCGTCCTCAAGGGCTTTATCGCCTCCACTGATCCCTCTGTTTCTTTGCTGCAGTGATCAGAGGGGTCAGGCTGGAGAGAGGCTTGGCTGATGATAAAAATGGGTGCTGTCCAAAGGATACAAAGGAAAGAAATGAACTGTTACTTTCCAGAGTCAAGTTCCTCACAGGCTCTGTTGCAACAGGACAAAGGGAAATACTCTGCAGGGAAACTCAGTAGAGAGAAGCATGCTCAGATTAGATCTAAGGAAGAATTTTTAAACCAGGAGAGTGGGGAAACAGTGACAGAAGGTGCCCAGAGATGTGGGAGGTGCCTCCTCCTTGGAAACATCCAAGCTCAGGTCAGGCAGGGCTCTGGGCCCCCTGAGCTGCTTGAAGATGTCCCTGCTCGCTGTGGGGCACCAGGCCCAGATGAGCTCCAAAGGAGCTGCCAAGCCACAACAGGCGAGGATTCTGCTTGCTCTGCGTGTGGAACGCAGCCAGACTGGAGACTGTCGGAGGGGGCCCCACAAGAAAACCCCTCCCTGGCGCTGCTGCTTCCCCTGCAGCCCCTGGCCCTCACCTGCAGCAGCTCCTGGGCAGCCCAGCGCCGCTCCTCGTCCGGCTCCAGGCTGCACTCGAGGCAGTCCCGCAGCAGAGCCGACAGGCGCCGGGGCTCCTGCAGCTGCGGGGTCCCGTTCTGCCGGATCAGAGCGCGAGCCTGCAGGGAAAGCAAACTCAGCGCTCTGCCAGCTCCCTTCACACCCACACGGGCTCACATCCACCCCGGGGCCTCAGCCCCAGCTCCAGGGGCACTTTCCTCCCTGCCACAGATGCTGCTCAGAGCTCATTTTTCTACGCCAACCAAAAAACCCAAACCCTGGGGCTGCCACAGCCACTGCAACATCCAAATGATCTCGCCTTGAGAGCCAGTTTCATTGGCTGACTCTGTCAGTAGGAACCTCCATCAGAAATAGCACATATTGCTTCTCCAAATGGGGACACCAGCTTTACAGGCCATTTTCCAGAGTCAGTGTGGTCTGCCTGTGTTATTTCAGAGGATTCTTACATCAAGTGCATCTCTGCAATGCCACTGACACTCAACTAAATGCATTCCTGATGCCCCATCCCAGAAACTGCCAGGCAAGAAACAGGAGGTTTGTGATGCTGAAAGCTCAGGCTTGGTGACACAGAGAAAGTAGCTTGGACTAGGAAAGAAATACCATAGACTATGAGGATGTTAAACAATCATCTTCAGGTTTTCAACAAGTTTCCCAGTGAGAAGAATCAGGGGGGAGATCATCTTGCAAAATGTCTTTTAGAAGCTCCTGCAAAAATCTTGTTGTGTTTGGGGCTGGGATATGGGGGTGGTTTGGGGTTTTCTTGCAAGATAATATTAGAACTGATGCACTTGCTTCATATTTCCAGGTCATCCTCATAGCCAGATGAGCGGCAACAACATAAATCCCAAAGCAAATTGTTGCTGGAGACTGAAGAATATTCTTCTGTATGGAGGCTGGAGTGCTCTGGGAATTCCCTTCCCATGTGCAGAAACCTCCAGCTGCTGCTCCCAGTGCAGGGCCCCCCTGTGCTCACAGGCCTCTGCAGCCACTGGAGAATTTGCCTCTTACCATGGCCACCGATTCCCTGAAGTAAGGAGGTTCTCCTTCCACCATCTCAATGGTCACAATGCCAAAGGCCCAGATGTCCACCTTGGGGCCGTAAGGAGATCTGGTCACAACTTCTGGGGCCATCCAGTGAGCAGTGCCCACCATGGAGCTGCGCTGGTCCTGCTCAGGGCTGAGCTGAGCGCAGAGGCCAAAATCAGCTGAGGACAGAAACAAACCCTGTCAAAGGCAGCTGGAATGAGGAAACCAAGCACCAAGATTCCCCACTCTCAGTCTGAGAGTGCAGTAGTGAAGTCAGCTGGAAAAGCCCTCAGGGCTGTAGCCAAGGAAAGATGGAACTGGACCCTTCAAGAAACCATTGAGGAAGGGGCGGGGGATGTGAGAGAGAAGAGGGGAAGAAGGCGGGAGGAGCAGAGCGGGGAGTGGGGGGAGCGATTGAACCGGGGGAAGACAAGGGGGAGATGAGGAGAGGAGCAGAAACAGGAAAAGTAGCGGGGACACCCCGGCCTTCATCGAGGTGTCCACGGGGGGGCCAGGAAGATGTGGAACCCCCAGCCAGGTGTGTTCCCAATACGGGGGGCTCTGACCCTGGGGGTCACCCGGGATTATCCAGCGCGGATCCTCCCACGGGGGATGGAGATGGAGCGGCGCACGGAGCTCGTCCCGCACCGAGCACTGCGGGATCCGCGGGCAGCGACCCCTGCCCCCGGGCCCAGCTCCCACCCTTTGTCCCCTCCCTTTGCCCAAATCCGTCCCATCGCCCCCTCCAAATCCCTCCCCATTGCCCCCCAATAAACGGGCCCGGGCCCAACTGGGAAGCTTTATTGGGAGCACTGGGAGCAGGCACTGGGGGGGGGTGTAGTTGATAGGGTTAGGCGCTCGGAAAATCTCGCGATGTCACGGAAAGCAGTAGGATCCCTCTCCCCCTAACTTCTAGTGATAAGGGATCACCCAAGAATGTAGTCCCCCCTAACATTAGTAACTTTCGACTCCTTACTAACCAATTACAGTAAAGTAAGACCCCCTGACGTAGAGAGAAAACTCCCCCAGTATAAAACCCGACGAGACGGGACAATAAAGCTCTTGAACCGTCCACCATACTGGTGCTAGCGTGTGTTCTTGGCCCGAGTGACCCTGGAGAGTTTGGGTTGCCGTGCCGTTTTCTCAGAACCAGGTCGCCTTGCCTTGTATCAGAAGGCGACAGGGGGGCAGAGCGCCAGCGGGGCTGGGGGGGACACGGGACCCCCCCAAAATCAGCGGAGCAGGGACGGAGCGGGGGGTCCCGGCCAGGCCCGAGCCCATGGGGAGGGGCTGCGGCCGCCGCCGGCTCAGGAACTCTGTGGGCAGAGAAAAGGGGGTGACACAGGGCTGGGGGCCCCAGCAGGAGCGCACACGCTCCGCCACGGCGGGGACGCCACCCCCGGCACCCGCCCTGACCTTCTTGCGCAGGGAGAAGCCGAGCCCCAGCGCCAGGAAGACCAAGCGCAAGACGAAGCCCCCGATGCCCGTCAGCATCTTGCTGCGGGCGGCGTCCGGCGGCATCACTGGGGGGTCCGCAGGGCTCAGCACCCCCAAAACCTCTCACCGATATACAAAGGCGCTCCGAGCGCCCCCTCCAGGCTCATTCCAGTCCCTTCCAGTCGCAACCGGCATCCTCTAAACCCCCTGCCCTTTGCACCCAGCGCCCCCAAACTCCCTCCCAGTCTCACCCAGCGCCCCCAAACTCCCTCCCAGTGCCCACCACGACCCCTTCAACCCCATCCCACCCTCCCCAGCATCACCCAAACCCCTGCCCAGCCCTTGCCCAGCCCCCAGCCCCTCTCCCAGTCCCAGCCCGGCTCTCTCCAGCTCCCTCCCAGTGCCTCCCAGCACAGCCCAGTGGCTCTGCCAGCGCCCCCAGGGGCTCCCCCGTACCCCAGTGCCGCCTCAGGGGCTGCTCCAGGCTGACGTGCTCCACCCGGCAGCTGTAGCTGAGCCCGCGCCGCGGGGGGGGGGGGGTTTCCAGCAGCACCAGCAGCTGGTAGGTCCAGTCCCCGTTGGGGACCACGTCGGTGGCCACCACGTGCTCCGAGAGCTCCTGCTGGCCCTGGAACCACCTCACCTGGATGGCAGCAGGGTAGAAATCCATCACGGAGCAGAGCAGGCGGCCGGGGCCGGGCTGGGAGCTCGAGGGGGGCACCAGCGAGATGGACACGTTGCGGGGCACTGGGAGAGAGAGAGGAGAGGGCTGGGTTTGGCTGGAGAGGGACTGGGAATGGGCTAGGGAGGGACTGGGAGCGATTGGGGTGGCGCTGAGAGAGACGGGACACGGTGCGGCACACTGGGACCGATGTTGGACGTCCGGGCTTGAACGGAGAATGAAGTGGGAATTAATTTGGAATGGATTTGGAATAGCCTGAGAAGAGGAGGGAGGGACTTTGGAAGTACTGAGAGCGACTAGGATGGCACTCAGAGGGATTTTGGTGGCCCTGGAATTAACTGGGAATGAAGTGCGCGGCACTGGGAGGCCGAGTCCAGCGCGGGGCCCTCGGGATTTCAGCGTCAGGGACTCTGCATGGCAACCGATGAGTCACCAGAGAGACGCGCTCTCATTGGCTGAAAGGAGCCGGCTACACGGACAACCGGGGTGGACACGCCGGGCAGGCACAGGGATGGACTGGGACGGACTGGGAGAGCCACGGGGGTCACTGGGTGGGACAGGAGGCCCCGGGGTTGTTCCGAAGGCGGGCTGAGTGCCCTGGGCTGATTCTCAGAGACGTTTTGAGGGGCTCCAGGGTCATTGGCAGGGCAGGACCCGAGGGGACACGCTCTGCCCCGCGCTCACCTCGGTACCCCGTGAGGAACGGGGCAGCAAGCTCGTAGCCGGCCCGGCAGAACGTGTCGACCGCAGCCCGATTATCCTCCAGTATTTCCGGCATTCCGTTGCAGCACCGAGCCTGTGTCTCCCCATAGGGGGTGTCTCCCACGAACACCCCCACGTCGCTGTCGAACATCATGTACTGCTTCCGGTTGTAGATGTACCTCCTCACGAACCTCACCTTCTCCGTACCATTAATGAAGTGACACTCTCTCGTTCTCATCTCCTGGAACACTCCTGTGAGTGCAGAACACAGATCCGGGGTTGTCCCCCCAGCATGCCCCCAGCGCTCCGGGGGCCACCCCGGATCCCCACTCCGCACCCCCTGTGCCCCACGGCCGCCATGGGACCGTCCTGCCCGCGCTGCCGCTTCCTCTTTGCCGCCCTTCCCCCATTTCCTCTTTCACATCCGCTCCCCTCCCACCTCCGGCCGCTCCCAAAATCACTTTTGGGGTCCCATTTCCCCATTTTCCCACAAATCCCCCAATCTCCAGCCCCCTCCCGCTCAGTTTTGGGGTCCCCCCTCCCCTTTTCCCCCCTTCTCCACCCTCTCCCACCCCTCCCTCCCCTCCCCGCATCCCTCAGCCCCTCCCGCTCTCTCTTTGGGGAGTCCCTTCTCCTCCCCCTCCATTCCGGGCTCTCCCCTTCGCCCCTTTTAACCATTTTCCCCCGTGTCCCAGCGCCTCCCGCCCCCCGCTCACCCGAGAGCTCCGCGACCGCAGCCGGGGGGCCTCCCAGCACCACCAGTGCCACCAGCAGGGCCCCAGCTGCCGCCCCTCGCCCCATGGCCGGGGCCGGGCAGGGAGCAGCAGCCCCAAAGCAGCCGCGCTGCGCTGGGAGCGCCAGTCCGGAGCAGGGCGGGCTCGGCAGCGCCGCGCGCTCTCATTGGCTGCCGCCGCTTCTGGGCAGCGACCGGCCACGGGCTCTGCCCGGCAACCGATGAGAAAATACAACGCCCCGAGCTCTCATTGGCTAAGCCTCCTCCTGCCTGCGCTGCCATTGGCTGAGGCTTTTCCGGGACCCTGCAGCCCCGGGCTGGGGGTTTTTTTGGGTAGGGGGAACCTTGGGGCGCTGGGCAGGTGGAAGCGGGGATAGAGAGGCGCGGGCTGTGCTGGACCAGCCAATGAGAGCCGCTCATTTCACATTTAAGCCCATTTTTTGGGTTACTGAGCTCGTTCAGGATTTTCTGTTCGGATCCCTTGGTCCCGCTGTCCTGGTTTGAAAAGGAAGTGAGTTTTTTGGGATGCTGTGGTCAAACCAGTCAGTGTTCAGATTTAAATACTGGCACCTGGTGTGGCCCCTGAGGACATGGATTCACCTCTGAGCACACAGGGGGTTAAAAGCAGAGAACTCCCAGGGGAAGCTCTCTTGGTTCCGGTGGGTGAAAGGTTCAGAGCTGCCCTGCCCGGCTGCGGGCTGGGTGCGGGAGGGGAAGCCATGCGGTCGGCTGAGGGGAGCCGGGCCTTGGACAGAGAAGGGAGCTGAAGGCCCCTGCAGGACGGAAGGGTGGAGGAGCACTGAGAGGCATCGGGCAGTGCCCCCAGAGAGAGAGGGAGAGCGGGTGTCTGTACCTGTGCCACCTTGAAATTTGCCATCTTGTGCTGGCAGCACAGCCGAGAAGGAGAAGGGGTGCAGAGAGAAGGTGCCTGGCAGGGCCAGCTGGGAGTTCTGGGCAGGCAGAGCCCGAGATTTTAACCCTTTTCTTGGATGATGGAAACCTTACAAATGCTGATCCTCCTGGAGCTGAATGAGAAGATAGGGATGAAATAGGAGAAAATGGGCAAGTGTGATGAAAGTCCATGCAAGTGAAAGATGTCAAAAGAAGTTGAGAAGAATCCTAGGCGGGACAAGACGATGGAGTGGCCTTTGTCTGGACTTTTCTTGCATAGCCATGGACAGAACCATTTTTCCTGTGACACAGAGACTGCATTTAGGGGGAGACAATGGCTTGGAGCCAAGAGAGTGCAGTGATGTGATGTCAAAGAGTGGCATGAACAGAGATGGATGAGGAGGGTGGTGGTGCCCTCTGCCTTCAGTGAGGAAGAAGATCTTTGTTCTTGAGACCCCTCGGCCCCAGGGGGTGAATTTGGGAGGGATAGGTGTGTCGCAGACATTTCTTCACAGAAATCCTTTCTTTCGGATTTCTGCGTCTTCTGGAGGGCAAAGGCCTCAGAAGACAAGGTAAACAATTATTATCAGCTGCTGGGGAATGTAACAGGGACACCTTGATTGGCTCATGCTTCTTGTTTATAATTAAGGGCCAATCACAAGGTGCAAGCTGGGGACTGAGTCCTTGGCCACAGCTTTGTTGTGGATTTCTTTCTATCTATTCTTAGCTAGCCTAGCAGCTCTGCAAATCTCTCTCTTTATTCTATTTAGTATAGTCATAATGTATTATATAGCATATATCAATAAATCCAGCCTTCTGATCTAGAAACAAGATTCACCGTCTCTCTCTCTCACCAGCAGTGACCCACTCAGAGCACTGTAATATCTGGTGACTCCTCGTGTCAGAGCAGAAATTAATTTGATAAGACCAGAGGAGCAAAATTGCTGCCCTGGGTAAAAATCCTGTATGTGTAGCATTTGAAGGTTGCTTTGAAGCGACCAAAGAAGTGGATTCAAGCCAGGAGCTGAAGAACTGAAGATCCTGATTTGGACAGAGTTCACAGCCAAGGCTGACCACAAAGAGAACCTTCTTCTGGAAAACCTTCAGGAAAGATGATAGAAAAGAGCAGCAGACCTGTGGAGCTGGCCAGAGCAAGCTGGACTCTTTCAGAAGGTACTGTTCATTTTTCTATCCCTGATGAACCAGCCCTTTGTAGCTTTTGGCTGTTCGTATGGCAAACACATGCCTTGCCAGAAGAGATTCAATTCTCCCCTTCAGAGGAGAAGCTTATTGCCCTCTGGAAACACTGGTGTAGAGAAGATGGTTTCTTTCTGTCAAAAACAGATCTCTATGAGTTCTTTCGATGGGCAAAGCTTTTTGTGTTTTTTACTGATGTCCTGTACACTTTGGATGTCTTTGTCTGGGAGTGCATGGACTCCATTTTCCAGTTCGTCTGGAGCCAGGGACGTGTCCTTCCTTCTATCTACCCAGCATTTATAAAGCTTTTCCCAGTTCTGAAAGGCAGAGCAGCATCTTTTCAATGGATCTCTAACTGTTATGGACAGGCCCCGTTTCCACCGTCCCTGGGAGAAGACCCGGTGGGGGAGGACATTCTGCTTCCCAGCCCCCACTGCTTCGCGGCGGGGGGGGCTGAAACTTCGCCGTACAAAGAAGTTTTTTTTACTCTTTCTCTGGAGCCTGCGCAGAGGCAACTTTCTCCTTCCCCTCCTTCTCTCTCTCCGGGGGGATGGGAGGAGGCGGCGCCGCTCAAGCCACAGCCGGCCTCTCAGACTCCACCTCCTTCACACATGGGGGCGGCACCAGTCTCTGAGGCCTCCCCGGCCCTGCCAGCTCCGCCTCTCCGAGTGATCCCATCTCCGCCTCTCCAGGCGGTCCCGCCCACGGCTTCACGGGCCTCCCCGCCCCTGTCAGCGCCTGCGTCGGAGAAGGCAGAAGAGACAGCACTTCCGGTGGTTGAGCTGTTGCTAAGCAGCGGCGATGCTCCTCCGCCGCTTCTCCCGGCTCCGCTGCTGCCTGTGTGCGCTCCGACGGAGACTGCGACTGCGCCTCCGCAGCGGACCCCGGAGTCAGCGGCGGGGGACGGCGCCGGCCCCGTGCCGTGCCTGCCGCCGCTTTCAGGGCTGGAGGACACGGCGGCGGCGTGTTCCCGCGCGTCCCCGCTGCCTCGGGCCGGGGCAGTCCCTGTTCAGGATGGTGCTGGAGGCGGCGCTGAACCCACGGGACCCTCAGAGCAGCCCGCGGCTGCACCGACACCCAGCGTGATTTCCCGCCCGAGTGTTTCGGGTTGTCCCGGGGTTGCCCCTGCTGGGGGAGCTAGGACAGGGGAAGAGGGTGTCGGTCTCTCCTTCTGTGGAGTGGGGGCTGCCCGCCAGCTGACTCTGGGGGCAGCCTGCCTACCTGCGTTCAAGATCAGCATTCTCGGCGGGTTGGGGAGTGTTTGGTCGGTTGCTGTCCCATGGGGGCTGCCATCTCTGCCGCCCCTCTTGTGCCCTAGTGGCGAGGGGCAGGTGGGTTCTGCCGAAAGTTCTGCCTTTGGTCCCCAGCCCGGTGGGGGTGGTGCTGTGAGGCAGATGGGAGACACACTTGATGCATTTGCATTGCAGAGGCAGGGGGCACAGCGGGAAGCGATCATGGCTTGCTTGCTGTGGGGAACAAACGTTCCTAGATCCGAGTTGAGGATTTTTGGGGCTGCTTCTATTTCCCTGCTGCTGGCATGCCTCAGTGGTTTTGGGGAAAGGAAGCATCTCACTATCCGTGCTGCCATTGTGCTGGCAGCAGGGTTCAGGCCTGTGGGAATGCAGAGCCTGCTTTATGGGTTTGGCCTGGGCCGTTGGGCTCAGATAGTTCCTGGGCCGGGCCCACTGCGTGGCCTCCTTATGTTTCTGGAAATTCTGGTTCCTCCTACCGGTCCTGGTCCCCCTTTGTGAGCCAGTTTTGGGGTTCCTGGCCCAGTATGGGCCAGGGCCCCCAGGGCCTTTTCCTTCTCTGGCACTGCTCTGCTTGGCTGCTGCTCTTTTGTTTTTCAATTAAAAAAAAAAAATTAAAATTAAATAAAAAAGATTAAAAATAGCGGGCAGCAGCTCTGAAGCATTGAAGGGCCAGAAAGGACATTCCAAAGTTATCCAAATTGTTTGAAATTGTTTGAAAATTGTGTTAAGACGGTCAATGGTTTTTTGATAACTATTGATGGAACTCTTTTGCAGAAGTTTGTTTTCAGGACCAAAAAGGACTCTCAGATATTCCAAGGGAAACTCTTCGGCTCTTGGACTGTTCCTGAAACTCAGCTGCATTGGACTTGAATTTTCCTTGCATTGTTTCTTGCAATTCTCTTATATTGTAGGATTGTTTTAGTGATTTGCTAGTATTCTATATTTTATAGGTGAAGGAATTTCCTGTTCATTCCACATCAGCATTTTTCTTTTATTTTATACAATTTAGAAAGGTGAGATGTCGCAGACATTTCTTCACAGAAATCCTTTCTTTCGGATTTCTGCGTCTTCTGGAGGGCAAAGGCCTCAGAAGACAAGGTAAACAATTATTATCAGCTGCTGTGGAATGTAACAAGGGCACCTTGATTGGCTCATGCTTCTTGTTTATAATTAAGGGCCAATCACAAGGTGCAAGCTGGGGACTGAGTCCTTGGCCACAGCTTTGTTGTGGATTTCTTTCTATCTATTCTTAGCTAGCCTAGCAGCTCTGCAAATCTCTCTCTTTATTCTATTTAGTATAGTCATAATGTATTATATAGCATATATCAATAAATCCAGCCTTCTGATCTAGAAACAAGATTCACCGTCTCTCTCTCACCAGCAGCGACCCACTCAGGGCGCTGTAATAACAGGTGTCCCAAAAGTGAGAGGCTGTGCTCATTTTTGGAACTGGGCAAAGCATCCTTAAAAGGGGAACCCCAGAAGCAGCTCTGGTCCATGTGCAGTGCTGAGAGCACTGGGCATGGAAGGAACATGTCACGATGGCAAATGATCTCTGGGCGGTGCCACGTGAGACATGGAAACGCAAGAGGTTTCAACTGTGTTTCTTGGGGAAGCCTGTGGCACAAGAGGGACTCCTCTCTCCTTGATGAACTGAGAGTTGATTATCTGAGGGGTGGTGATGGACTGACAGTTGGTGACCGGAGGGGTGGCAACTGAATTGTGAG